ATTGGAGGGGGGAGGGTTAAAAGCTTCCTCAATATTCTTAAATGGTTATCACCTTTTTGTGTTGGTCAGTGTATCTGTAGGTATTCAAGGAGTATTTTTATGTAAGGAAACCCATAATACAAATTTTATTTACTAGATAAAACACTTAAATAGTACATAAATTAACTTCCCATTAACAATGGGGAAGGTGTTAAAGCTGAACATATTGTTTTACTATAATTTAGAGCCTTTGTGCTAAGGCAATTTGGGGAGTGTGTTTTCTTCTTTCACATTTCTAGAAACAATAGTTTTTATAAATCTAGTCAAGTACTATGGATTTATTTAGAATGTAAAATTCAGTGATGATCAATTTCTCATTATCAGTTCCTATAAGTTTTCATGGCATACAAATCGTCAAAAGAGCACGTATCCTGTTTGGGATCTGCTCAGTTTTCTGATTTAGAAGGTGGGTGTGTGTCTTTTTTTAAAAATATATGAAGTCTTAAGTCATTATTTATTTGAGTACCTTTTCAACCCTGCCTTCTTTCTCTTCTATTTCTGGGACTCCCAAGACACGATTGTTAAATCTTTTGTTATATTTCCACAAGTTCCTATGGCTCTGTTAATTTTTTTATTTTCAGGCTAATTTCTTTCTGTTGTTCAGAATGTGTGATTTCTTTTGTTCATCTTCTAGTTAGCTGATAGTTTCCTCTTTTTCTGCCATTTTGCTTTTTAGCCCGCTCTTTGGGTTTTTTGTTTTTGTTTTTAATTTTGTGTATTATATTCTTCAGTTCTAAAATTTCCATTTTGTTCTTTTTTAAGATCTTTTTCTTCTTTCCTGAAACTTTCTATATTTCTATTTGTTTCAACTGTGTTTATAATTACTGTTGAAGCATTTTCAAGATCACTTCTTTTAAAATCTTTGTCAGATAATTCTAATATTTTTGTCATCTCAGTATGGGCATTTGTTGTCCTTTCATTCAATTTGAGATCTTGTTCTTTGTACAATGAGTGATTTTCAGTTGATATCCAGACGTTTGGGTAGTTTACCATGAGCCTCTGCATTTTAATTAAGCCTTCTGTTTTAGCTTGTTTCCTTTAGGACACTGCTCCAGAAAAGAAGTGGGGAGAGGTGCAGGATTATAACTGCCTTTGGGGATTAGAGTCCATGTTTCTCATTTGGCCTCCATTAATACCTGAGAGGGATGACTCTTCATTACTACCGGGAAGGCGTGGCAGTGTGAAGAGGAGGTTCTGACTGCTTGGTAGGCCTCCACTGATACCTCCATGAATCAAAGGGACAGTTCCATGCTACTGTTTCCCTTCAACGACACCTGATGTATGTTGGGGGAGGGGAAGGTGGCTTTTGATTCTGCTGGTGGTGGTGGTGAAGTTCTGACTCTCCCCTAGGTATCCAATGACACCCCTAGTAGGGAAGAGGAGGGGTGCCTCATCACTACCGCCAGGTGGGGACAGAATCCTAGGCACCTCATGTGGTCTCCACTGTGCCCGCAGTGCAGGGAGCCTCAATAGCACCTGGCTGAATGAATGTCATGGGTTTCTACTTGGCCTTCTGTGATCTCACCTGAGTGGGGATGTTGAGATACTTCATTACACACTCTTGAGGGCAGAAGTCTAGGCTCCCCACTTGGCCTCTGGTGGCATGTGTATTATGACCGACAAGACGTTACTCTGAGGTAAATCCAAGACAAGGTGTGGCAGCCATGTCTTCAGTGAACTCTAATTCTCTGTTCTTGTGATGGAGAATCTACTAAGGATCCCACAGAGTATGAGACTGAGAATGTGAATGCAACTCTGTAAGTTGCCACTGTGTGATCTTAAGCAGAAGTTTGGTCTCTAAGCCTCAACTTTCTCATTGACAAAATGGGGTTAATAATGACAACTGCATAGGACTGCTTGGAGGCTTTACATTGGTGGTAAGTGTGAAACTCCCAGCTCATAGCAGGGGTTCTATAAATGACAGTTGCTATCATCATCATTAATGCCATTATCGTCACTGTCACATTAACCAGAAATATCCAACATAGTTTTACATGAATGTGAGTCACATATAAACCAAATTCTGATTCCCTATGTGAGAACACTGGAATGGTTTTTAGTCATTCTCTGTGGGTCCAGAGCTGCTATTTAAGCCAGAAGGCAGGAACAGGCCCCAGAGCTATTGTGTGACCTACAGAAAACTACCTCTCATTAAAGCACCGTGTTTTCCCTCTAGGTATGAACCCACTTCAGGAATAACTGAGCAGATTTTGGGTTCTTGAGGTCAAGAGAGGCAGTCAGAAAATCTCTTCCAGCCACTTGGCTCTTACTTGGCTGCATTCCAGCTAGGTCACATAGGCATATGACAGGGAAGTGGTCCATTTCAACAACTCAATACAACTCAAGCAAACTTTTCATGAACCATCCATCACTAGAGCCAAGCAACAATCTGGTAAGGTAGGGAAGACATTTTATAGGATGGAGGGGAAAAGGGTGAAGGCTCGAAGAGGTAATAACTTGCCTAATTGAGCAAATAAGCAGCTAAGTCAGGAGGGGACTCAGGCATTCAGTAGGTATTTGGTGAGTACTATCTTAGTTTGGGTTCCTCTAGAAGTCAATCCTAAGCCAAGGATCTGACTGTGAGTGGTTTATTTGGGAGGTTATTTCAGAAAACATTAATAAGGGAGTAGGAAAGTGAGAAGGAGAGAGAAGGTAGCCAATAATGCATTTTTAAGCAATTCAGTGTTGGGGACTACTGGGACTAAATCCTGCTGTAGGATATATATATATCAGAGTTATTCCACCTGAGGGACAAGAGAGCTACAACCCATCAACCCCAACAGTCCTTGGCTGGTGCTTGTGGATTTTATTACTTAGCGGGAAAGATCAACAAGGTAAATAGGTAATTATAATGCAGAGTGATCATGGCCGTGAGTACAGAAGTACATTATGCTTGGGAACATATAGGAGGGTCCCTCAGCCCAAGATTTGGAGGGCCAGAGGAGACTTTTCTGTAGGCAGTGGTATCTCCAGTTTAAGTCACCACTCTCTTGCTTCTGAAGTTTCCACAATTCCTGTCCCCTTTGTACAGAATACTCTGTCCCCCATCTTCAGCTGCCTGTCTCCTACACAGTCTTAATATCTCCACTACATGTCACTTCTTCAGAGAGGCTTTTCTGAATCTACACAATGGGATGTATTTCCCATCAATATGCTTTCCCAGTAATCAGGATTTATATTAACATTAAACAGGAGGAGTACATGCCTTTTTCACTATTGTATCCTCAGTCCTTGGCCCAGTTTCTAACACACAGTAATAGTGTTAGAATTATCTGTTGAATGAAGGAATAGATGATCTGTCCATAGAAACAGTCACACTCTCTGCTGAGGCTGGGGGCCCAAGGAAATAGGTACTCTAACTGGGGGTGTAACCAGTGACAAGTTCCACCTTCTGAGAACTAATTCACTAAGGCTGAATGTGTAGGTTGAAGTCAGAGACGATGTAGGCACTTCCCAGTTCAATGAAGCACACAGTGATACTCTGCCAAAAGGTGGGAAGGAAATAAGGATTGCCTTTGGTATCCATCTACCTGCCTTCCCAAAAGTTCAACTCCGCATTTCCTGAGTAGCTACTACATGCCAGAGATTATCTTCTGGGGACTCAGGAAAATGCAATACAGTGTCTATTCTAGTGAGCAAGACCCATGAGCTTCAGAAGACAGGACAGAGAAAACACACCCAAGATGACAGAACAAAGACCAGAATGAGGGAGATCTTAGGGATTATGAGTAAAACACACAATGGGCAGAGGCACAGAAGGGCAAGGTTTCCCCTTTTGGACTTTCTACTGGTGGCGGGAATGAATCATCATTGTTGGATGGATCTAACTGTCCAATGTTCATAAAATCAGCAGTATATATTGTGCAATATGTCATGTTTTAATTTATTCTGAGGTAAGGTTCAAGTCTCAACTCTCTTATCACAATAAATGAAAATGACAACAATGTGGTCGGTGTTCATGCAGGAGTCATCAGAATCCTGGAAGGATAAACAACCATGCTTACTTTTGGTTATATTTTGGTATCAAGGAGAGTAGGATACACGTATGGGTGTGCTCATAAGCAGGCCTTCATTATGGACAGAGTTAAGCTAGGCCTATGACAGATTCATAAATAAAAATGCCATCAGGTCATCAAAGAGAGGGAGATTTCAGATCTTACTGGTAGATCGGGAAACACTTCACAGAGGAGAGCTTGACCTTGATCTTAAATGATTGGGAGAATTCTGAGTGTAGGAGGGAACAGAGGGTAGCTTAAGTAAAAACAGTCCGTGGAAGTGGTTCAGGGACTTCTAAGTCATGTGGCATATAGCTGGAACGTGGTTTGTATGGAAGGGAATGTAAGGCCATAAAAGAGAAAAGGCAAGTTGAGTTGAGGGAAGGGAGCAAGTTGAGTGCCATATTGAGAAGATGGGACTGTTGCCTGTTGGCGCTAGGCAGTGACAGAAAATGTCTGTCAGAGAACCCTGGTGTCTGTATGGAAGACTGATTTCAGGCACAGCAGACAGAATCTGAAGGCTACAGTGACAGAGGGGCCTGGCCTTCAGCAGCAGGAGAGGTAATGGAAAGAAGGAGACTGATGGAAAGACATGGTGACTCCATGGGGACATAGAAAAACAAGTTCAAGGCAACCCTGAGGTTTCCAGTTTGGGGCCACGTTGAGACTGCCATTACAGAAAGGGCACTCAGGAAGGGGGTTACTCATGTTCCATCTGGTCCCAGTAGCTCCTTCCCTCAGTGTATGCCCCACAAGCCCTCAAGCCCCTAGACCATCCTGGCTTCCCCCCCCCCCCCCCCGCCACCCGTTTCCCCCTCCAGGCCTGTCCAGGCCTGGCTTCAGGACTTTGGGAAAAATAACCTCTTTGAACTTGCATTTCCACTTTGAAAATCAGAAGCCTGAAGCAGGATGGCATCCACATCTAAAGTTCTACTTTCTCCTGATTTACTTCTTCTGTCAGGGCCGAGTACACTCAGTTACATTTTCAGGGCATCCTTATCTTCCCACCAGGTGCTGGTATATTAAACAAGGCACAGTGCCTCTCAAAGAAATGTAGCAGTAATGGTGGATTGCAACCAGAAGCCACAGAGGCAGATCTGGAAAGGAAGGGGTACTCTTCTGATCCTGAAATCCTTTCCTGTAGCTACACCTGGACTCTGGCTCCCACTAAGGACACTAATGCTTTCCATGAGCAACCACAGATGACTCAGCACAGATGAGGACATCAAACTTGTCCACCATCCGCTCAAGGTGGGACTGAGGGGCCCTGAGCAAAACACACAATGGTTCTCTGGGTGGGCCTTCAGGCATAAGACTGGGCCAACAGCAGACCCTGGCCCCCACAGGTGTGGCTTTTCCCCAGTGCCTTACCCACTCTGACAACTCCATTTCTAGCACCCTTCTGAATGAAAATGGGGTTTTCAGTGTGCAGCCTGGACTGTTAGCATGACCATTACCTAGAAACTCATTAGAAATGTAAATTCTAGGGGCGCCTGGGTGGCGCAGTCGGTTAAAGCGTCCGACTTCAACCAGGTCACGATCTCGCGGTCCGTGAGTTCGAGCCCCGCGTCAGGCTCTGGGCTGATGGCTCAGAGCCTGGAGCCTGTTTCCGATTCTGTGTCTCCCTCTCTCTCTGCCCCTCCCCCGTTCATGCTCTGTCTCTCTCTGTCCCAAAAATAAATAAACGATGAAAAAAAAAAAAAAAGAAATGTAAATTCTAGGGCTCCATCCAAGGTACCCTAGGGTGGGCCCAATAACCCCCACTTTGACAAGCCCTGTAGGAGACTCTGGGGCATGCTAACATTTGCAAGCCAATGAATTAGAAGATGGAGAAAAACACTGCATTACTCCTCCTAAATAATACATGAATATATTCATTATTTTGAGCTGGGCAGACCCAGTAACATAATGTAGTACAAATTTTAGAATGGATGGAATTTATTATTTTTTTTTTTGTGGGTATGAATAAAGTAGCTACTTTAGTGAAACCTAGCAACCTCTCTATGGACAAAGGAAGAAATTACCAGAGAGGCTGAGGTCTTAAAACTTCAGGTAATTAAGGCAAATAAGTGCTGAGTTTTTATTTGTATCATCTAAATGTGTGGGTTTTTATACCCACTCTTTTTCTTTTTTAAAGCTATGTAACCTTTGATATAAATGAAATCTAAACTGAAACCCCAAATGTAAAACAGATAATTGGGTTGTACTCTAAGGAAATGGGGAAGAAGTCAGATCGCTGCCTCACGCTCCCTCCCTCCACCTCCCCCCCTTTTCCCTCCTCACCTCCCCCATCCTCTTCCAGTGGCCCACAGGGCTCCAGGCAAGGCCCATTACTGCAGAAAATAGCTTTAATTCCCTCTTTCCATTGCATACTCGATGCAAAGGCTTCAGGGAAATTCTATCATATTCCTGGGACAGGCATTTTAATTAATACAAAAAGGAAATTTGTTTTTGTTGTGACTGTGCTTTTCCCTGAAGACCAAGGAAAGGGAGAAGGGAGGGGACTTCACCAGGGAGTGGCCCTTTCAAGGGCAAGGTGAGCACAATGAAAAGGCAGGTGCTTCATTCATCTTTGCAGCCCAGAGACGGAGCCACCTGCCCAGGAATGTGCTCACAGTAAATACCATTAATTGAGCCCGACAATCTGAGAAGCCTATTAAATTGCCAGCCCAGGAAGTGGGAGTGACTCAATGTCTATGTGTGTCACTGTGTTTTGCTGGAGCAGATGCGGCTGAATATGCCTGCTTCGTTTCTCCAAGGCCTTTTCCTGAAAAGAAAAGCCCACCTGTATTTGCATGTATACGTGCGTACAGCCTTCTAGAATAACGGAAACCTGACTGTACCAGCTGTTCATTTCTTTCAGACTTGGTGTGAGTCAAGTTTCCTTTGGAAAACAGTGATACAGACATGTTGATCCAGAAGGGGTTTTAGGCACCTTCTAGGACAGCGGTTTTGAATGATTTTTCTTTTAAGAACTAATCTCTTTCCTCAAAATAAATGTTATCCAGAAAGAGATTAAAAGGCGGTTCATTCCACCTGCCCCTTCAGCCTTCCCTCCTTCTCCCTGTCTGACCCAATGACCCTAAGGAATGCAGCAAAGCCTAGTTTGAAAAACAGCTCAAGAAGTAGAAGGCCTTTTCTTTTTTAAAAAATTTAATGTTTATGTATTTTTGAGAGAGAAAGAGAGAGAGAGAGAGAGAGAGAGAGAGAGAGAGAGAGAGCGAGCGAGCAGGAGTGGGAGAGGGGCATTGAGAGGGGTAGACAGAATCCGAAGCAGGCTCCAGGCTCTGCGCTGTCAGTACAAAGCCCTAAATGGGGCTCAAACTCATGAACTGTGAGATCATGACCTGAGCTGAAGTCAGATGTTTAACCGACTGAGCCACCCAGGTGTCCTGGTAGAAGGCCTTTTCAAAGATAACAGTGCTAGGGGCGCCTGGGTGGCGCAGTCGGTTAAGCGTCCGACTTCAGCCAGGTCACGATCTCGCGGTCAGTGAGTTCGAGCCCCGCGTCGGGCTCTGTGCCGACAGCTCAGAGCCTGGAGCCTGCTTCTGATTCTGTGTCTCCCTCTCTCTCTGACCCTCCCCCGTTCATGTGCTGTCTCTCTCTGTCTCAAAAATAAATAAACATTTAAAAAAAAAAAAAAAAAAAAACAAAGATAACAGTGCTAGAAAGAGAGCCTGGATTAAAGATGAATCTCTTGTTCTGAGAGCTTGTCCTGAGAGCAATCCATATGTAAACACCCATAGTCATTCCTTTTGCTGCCATCATTTCTAGGCACTCATTCATTCCTTTTTTTTTTTTTTTTTGGAGCAACTGTTTATTAAACACCTGCTGTGTTCCAAGCACTAGCTAGCTGCTGTAGATTCAATGGTAAGCAAAAGATGTGGCCCCTGTCTTGACAGATTCTATTGCAGGATAAATATACTCACTAAATGGCCACACAAATGTAAAACTGCAACTGTTATTTATGTTATGAAGGTGAAGCAGAAGGTGCCATAGGAATTTATGACTGCTTGTCCCAGGTGAATTTCAACTCTCTTCTCAATTTATTTGTTCTTTTGGGAAACACATGATTTTAAAATTTTATAACAAGAGGATTTTATCTCCTCAGAGAGGTCAGGGGAGGTTTCCCCAAGATGTAAAGTTATAACAGAAATCTAAGTGTTCATTGGCTACGAAGGGATGGAAGAACATTCCTGGCAGAGGCAACAGCATGTGCTAAGGCCATGTAGCAAGGGTGTAACAAACTAGAAGGCAAGAGTGACTGAAGCAGAGAGTCAGGGGAGAGGTGGGCTGGCTGAGACCACCCAGGACCATAGGAGGCATGTTAAGATGTCTGTCTTATCTTAAGAGGAATAGAAAGTCATGGAGAGTTTTTAAAGCAGGGGAGGGGGCAATTTATATATTATTAGTCATTTTGTTTCATAATGATTTTCATGCATCTAGAATGGCACATCAATTGAGGAAGTGTCCAGGGCAGATACAAAGTACAGTTTGGAGGCCAAAGTTGATCAATGATGAGTTGATCCTGAATATGGCAGTCGGAATGGAGAGATGGATAAATTTAAGAGCTATGTGTGCATTAATGTGGACAGGATTTAGAAGTGGAGAAGATACTGAAGATGAGGACAAGAAAAGTGGAAAGGATCACGCTTAGTTTATACTTTGTGGACTGTGACAAGTGATTATTGCCATGAGACCAGCTTTGGTTTCTGCCATATTGGCCAACCTAGTTCTCCATCCTGTATGCACATTATAATCACCTAATTTTTTTTTAATGTTTATTTATTTTTGAAGGAGAGAGAGGCAGAGCATGAGTGCGTGAAGGGCAGAGACAGAGAGGGAGACACAGAATCCAAAGCAGGCTCCGGGGTCTGAGCTGTCAGCACAGAGCCCAACATGGGGCTTGAACCCACAAACCGTGAGATCATGAAATGAGCCAAAATTGGATGCTCAACCGAATGAGCCACCCAGGCGCCCCTCACCTAAAAGTTTTTGTTGTTGTTGTTGTTTTTCATTATTTATTTATTTATTTATTTATTTATTTCAATATATGAAGTTTATTGTCAAATTGGTTTCCATACAACACCCAGTGCTCATCCCAAAAGGTGCCCTCAATACCCATCACCCACCCTCCCATCTCTCCCACCTCCCACCAACCCTCAGTTTGTTCTCAGTTTTTAAGAGTCTCTAATGCTTTGGCTCTCTTCCACTCTAACCTTTTTTTTTTCCTTCCCCTCCCCCATGGGTTTCTGTTAAGTTTCTCAGGATCCATATAAGAGTGAAACCATACAGAGAAAGACAGATACCATATGGTTTCACTCTTATGTTGTTTTTTAAATAGTGGCATTCAAATCCTATATCCAGAGATCCTAGTTTACTTGGCTAGGGTGAGGTCTGGGCAGTGGTGCTTTTTCCAATCTCCCGGGGGTGATTCCAGAATGCCACCATGGTTGGGGCACTTGGGTGGCTCAGTCGGTTAAGTGGCCAACTTCAGCTCAGGTCACAATCTCAAGGTTCATGAGTTCAAGCCAGACATCAGGCTCTATGCTGACAGCTCGGAGCCTAGAACCTGCTTCAAATTCTGTGTCTCCCTCTCTCTCTGCCCCTCCGCTGCTTGTTCACTCGCTCTCTCTCTCTCTCTCTCTCAAAAAATAAAAATAAAAATAAAATAAATAAAATAAATAAATAGAATGCCACCATGGTTGAAAACTCACCACCATTGAAAACCACTGCTCCAAACAATCCCCTAGGGGATCTTATGTGGTTTCTTCTCTATATGATTATACCTCACCATAAAGAGACAATACCATGATCTTCAGAGGCAAAATGATTTGCCTCTGAGAAAGAAACAGATTTGCAGGAAATCATGACAAATGGGGCATAGAGCAGATTAGGAAGTAGCCAAACACACCCGGTCAAGGGAGGGGGGAGCAGTTCAGTAGATAAGAATATCCAATGGAAAAAAGACAGTCTCTTTAACAAATGGTGCTGGGAGAACTGGACAGCAACATGCAGAAGAATGCAACTAGACCACTTTCTTACACCATTCACAAAAATAAACTCAAAATGGATGAAGGACCTGAATGTGAGACAGGAAACCATCAAAACCCTAGAGAAGAAAGCAGGGAAAAACCTCTCTGACCTCAGCCGCAGCAATTTCTTACTTGACACATCCCCAAAAGCAAGGGAATTAAAAACAAAAATGAACTATTGGGACCTCATGAAGATAAAAAGCTTCTGCACAGCAAAGGAAACAATCAACAAAACTAAAAGGCAACCAACGGAATGGGAAAAGATATTTGCAAATGACATATCGGACAAAGGGCTAGTATCCAAAATCTATAAAGAGCTCACCAAACTCCACACCCGAAAAACAAATAATTCAGTGAAGAAATGGGCAGAAGACATGAATAGACACTTCTCTAAAGAAGACATCCAGATGGCCAACAGGCATATGAAAAGATGCTCAATGTCACTCCTCATCAGGGAAATACAAATCAAAACCACACTCAGACACCAACCACCTCATGCCAGTCAGAGTGGCTAAAATGAATAAATCAGGAGACTATAGATGCTGGCGAGGATGTGGAGAAACGGGAACCCTCTTGCACTGTTGGTGGGAATGCAAACTGGTGCAGCCGCTCTGGAAAACAGTGTGGAGGTTCCTCAAAAAATAAAAAATAGACCTATCCTATGACCCAGCAGTAGCACTGCTAGGAATTTACCCAAGGGATACAGGAGTGCTGATGCATAGGGGCACTTGTACCCCAATGTTTCTAGCCGCACTCTCAACAATAGCTAAATTATGGAAAGAGCCTAAATGTCCATCAACTGATGAATGGATAAAGAAATTGTGGTTTATATACACAATGGAATACTATGTGGCAATGAGAAAGAATGAAATATGGCTTTTTGTAGCAACGTGGATGGAACTGGAGAGTGTTATGCTAAGTGAAATAAGTCATGCAGAGAAGGACAGATTCCATATATTTTCACTCCTATGTGGATCCTGAGAAACTTAGCGGAAGACCATGCGGGAGGGGAAGGAAAAAAAATGGTTAGAGAAGGAGGGAGCCAAAACATAAGAGACTCCTTAAAACTGAGAACAAACTGAGGGTTTATGGGGGTGGGAGGGAGGGTTGGGTGGGTGATGGGCATTGAGGAGGGCACCTGTTGGGATGAGCATTGGGTGTTGTATGGAAACCAATTTGACAATAAATTTCATATTAAAAAAATTAAAAAATTAAAAAAAGAAACTCAAACTCAAACTCAAAGAAAAGTCATAAACTCTGCCACTAATAGGCAACCTTTTCATCTTTTAGTGAAAGTATTGGACTAGACCAGAGGTTCTCAAACTCCAACTCACTTCAGTATCACATGGGGGCATGGTTCAAACACAGATTGCGGAGTCCCACCCTCTGAGCATTAGATGGAGTAAGTCTGGGGTGGGGCCTGAAAATCTGAATTACTGAATACCTCCCAGGTGATGCTGAGCTGCTCCAGGCACCAAGGCTGGGATGAAGGTGCCATCAGCAAAGAGAGGGAACCTAAGACAGATCCAGTCTTTAACAAAGAGATCCTGTCTTTATTTAAATGTTGATATTTTATTCATCATAAATGTTAATTTTGATTTTTAAAAACCACATTAAACTATTATTTATTTGAATATTGAGGTTTTTGGTGCCTCTTTACATTTGGCACCCAAAAAGTGGGCCTCATTCACTTGATCTGATCCCAGCTATCCAAGGACCCCAGGAAGAGGATTTGGATGAATTCTAAAGGCACTTCAAGCTCCAACATTTCATTAAACAAGAAGGAAGGTGGTGGTAAGTTGAAGGACTCTAAAGCCAAGCTGTCAGTGTTCGGAGGGTGGAAATGGGCTCTTCCATTGACAAGCTACATAGCTTTGGGGAAGTTGCTAAACTTCTCTGGGCCTCTGTTTTTCCTTATCTACAATGTCAAGACAGTAATACAGATCACACAACTTTGTAGTAACTGGCTGAGATAACACATATAAAGTACACCAGTACACCTTGTGGGTTGACTGCTTGTGAGCAGTCACCATCCTTAGCAAATGCCTCTTGCTTTTGAAGCTCCTTTCTCATTAGGATTACCCTGACTTCTTTGAGACTTGAAAGGAAACTTTTTTTTCAAAGCTTTGTATTACTTATCCAGTCATACAGCTTATTGTTTCTCATGATTTTCCAATTTGTTCCTTGTGAACTGGCTTCTCCTTGATCCCAAAGAGACCATCTATAAGGTTACCATAATGCAATGCAGCATCGTGTACAAAAGTCTTTAGAAAAACCAAGACAAACTTGTGGACCGACACTCACTATTTCTTGAACGTGTATGAAATAATTAGCCAGTCCCTCCAACAGAGTTCAGGAATCCTCTCATTTATTTTGTGGAATACACTTATTTGTATAAAGGGGAGAATGACAGTCACTGGCTCCTGACAGCTAAGTCATGGTTTCTGCAAATGTAGCAACCATTTGTCAAGTTTTGTAGTAAACGAGTGTTCCCAGTTTGCAGATTTTTTTTGGCGTGGCTCTAGTTTCTTTAGAGAACCAGGTGAAATGAATGGGGAGGTTTAAAGGGGAGGAAACTCAGGCCCCTCATTCAGACATCTTCAGGCTGGAGTCTGTACCATCTCTCCAGCGTCAGGCCTGCCAATGCTCACTATCCATCCTCACAAATACGACTTAGGGCTGTTTGTGAACTTACTGTGTAAAGTCACCCCCTTCCTGCACTGCTCAGGCTGTTTATCCACCTGGAATGGACCATCCCTGCTTCTCCATATCAAAGTAATGCTCATCTGTTGAGGTCTAACTTAAGTGTCACCTCTAAGGACTCTTCCGCAAGCTCCCATGTTCCACGTCACTGTGGTTGTTCCAGTCAGCTTCTGTCAGAGCACTTGGAAGTCTGGGTTTTCCATTCTGGCAAACCATCCTTGATAAGTTATTTATCCTCCATAGGAGACACTCAAGTCTAATTTTTGTTGGGTTGGTTGTCAAAGTAACTTTGGTTGACAAACTTTAATCCACAACCAAAAGAAAAGAACCCTAGCTTATATTCAGAGAATTGAGCTTGATTTTTTTGTTGTTGCATTCTCATCAGAGCATGGTAAGTGATATTCACAAGTCAGATCAACAAACGGATGTATCCTTAGATCAGGCTGTTTGGGCCTCTCTACTGATCATACTTTAATATGTAATCTACTTGAACTAAGAAGTATTATAATGACCCCTATAAAACCCACTGCCATATTACTGTCAGAAAGTTCTTCAAGAAATCCTGTACTGTGCCTTTACTAACCACTGGGGAAACTGTTTCCATAATTGAGGACCAAAAAAAAAAAAAAATGTACTTCTTCTAAGCAACTGCTGGTCTTTCATCTTGTTGATAGCAATAAATCCTGTCCTGTTTTTTCTTTTGCCCTAGCTGTAGAAAGTTCTGAGTAAACAATTGTAGGAGTGTTGATGACAGTGACTCTATCTTTGGCCCTCCATCTTGTCCATGCCTGTGTAATGACCTCCCTCGGGGCTACATGTTCCAGGCCTTGCAGAGTAATGTAAGCCCTGAATGGATTGAGAGAAGGTTTGTCCTCATCTTCCCTAAAGGAAGGGCACAGAGAGCCCACTTTGGGTAACTAGTTCAGATGACTGCTGCACAGAAGGCCCCACCTCAGGTAACTATCCTGTGACTTCACCACCATGCTCCTCATTCCCTAAAAGCTGGGGATGGAGGTCCTGATACGGGTGGAGAAT